CTGGTTGATAAGCTCTGCACTTCCAAACCATTTGCCTCAACACAAAAGAATTTGTTCATAAGCTTTGAATTCACTAAACCAGATAACTTCGATGAACTCCTCACAATGTGACCATAACCGACGTGTTTGACTGCACTTTTTTTGACATTCTCATTGTCAACATAAACAACCTTCTGCTTCTCTGACAATGGCGATGAGACCCGCGAGCAAGAGAATGGGCTGACCGGAGTTTGAGGTTGTGAACAAGGAGCTGACTGTGGTCTTTCCTGGAAGACTCCCTTCATTAAACTCATAGCAAACTTCTTTGTAGCTGGGCTAGGCGTGGATGTCCTCACTGCAACCGTCCGCTTATTGTTCATGAGGTAAGATGCTCCATTTGTGTAAGTTTGCCGGAGGGGCGTCGGAATCTCCTCTCGTTCACTCCATTTTGTTACAGAATTCATCGAATCACAGTCATCAACAAACTTCTTTTTATGTCGCGACAATGTAAGTAGAGTCCTGAGTTTTCTTGCTGCAGTATCAAGAGAACTTAAAGGCTTCTTCTTGTTTGAATTGCCCTCATTCTCACTCCAGCTGACACTGGAGCATGAGCTTAGCCTCCCACTGGCCTCAGCTGCTTCAATTTCACTGTATAAGATAATCTCTGAATCTGTGATCCTGAAGGAGGTTCCTGGGCTGCATCCAATGCCAGATTCCATTTTCGACTGTGAAGTCATCACAGATTTAATCCTGGGGTCCTTCAAATTCGATATCCCTCCAAAAGACACAAATTTTCTAATCAGTAAATTTGACGTGGCAGAGCAAGCCCGTCGGCTGAGCAGGTCAAGCGGAGTCATGCCGTCGATATCCTGAACATTAATGTCGATAGAGGGAATGGTCATAAGAAGCTCAACTAGATCAGAGTGCAAAGCGTCGCCAATCACGGCAACATGGAGAGCTGCCCTTCCATTGTTGTTCTGTATGTTGATGACGTTTTGAATGTTTATGATGTTGATAGACATTAATCGTCGCACCAGCTCCATCTGCTTGTCAA